ACACACACACACACACACACACACACACACACACACACACACACACACACACACACACACACACACACACAACCACGTTTTAAAGTGGTTTCTGAGAGGAGACGTTATAATGAGTCTATTCCAAAAAGCACAAAAACGGTTTCATTTTCCATGCATTTTATTGCATATTTAACACAAACTGGATTTTTTACTGTGATAAATAACAGCTATGCACATATTAACACGTAAAAGATTTATCTAGATATAATGGCGAGATTACATTCGGTACACCAAGAGGGCAAGGTGGTTTGCTGAGCTCATTTCGCAACAATCTGCTGCATGAATAGGGATCAACCAGCACTCTCAGTGATAAAAACTCTTTGTTATTCCAGCTCGTGAGCTGGGGGAGCGGTGATAGAAAACATCCTGGCAAATAAAGCGAGATTGGTTGGCACAATAGAGGCGGGATCAGAGCACAGCATTATGCAATGAAATTTAACAGGCCTCCACGGAGCAACATTAGCTCAAGAACTCATAAATGTTTGAGGACCTGCCGGTGTAAAATGTGCTTTCGTCGACGTTCTCCACTCCCAAACCGGAGCTCTCGTTGTACTAACTGTACGGCAGTCGTGTCACCTGTGGAGGAAATACCTGGAAGATGTCAAAGTCGTAATGAATGTTGCGCACAGGAGCACAGACTGATGGTCCCCTACAAATGACTGCAGCTACACCTACACTCTTTTGAGTCACCGCAGGGTCCCCGATTTCCCACGATCCACCGTGTGTGGTAATCCTGACCTACCCTTAGAACCCTTCTCCTCCACAACTGCCTGACAATGTTAGAAAGAAAAGCAGTTTGATCGGCCCTCATACCCACCGTCCTTCATCTCTCGTCTGCCACAGCGGTGCAAAAAGCTGCTTCCACAAGTGATTTATTCCTTCTCCGACTCAATCCTGCATCACCCCTGCTTTTGTCATGCAGACAGAAGGACTTTAGGAGATACACAGGGATGACTCAAGAGGGACAGGCTTTCACAGAGGGAGATAACATTTGCTCAAATTGGAGTTTCTCCTGCATTTGCTGGGAGATGAGATAACCGATGCATCTCGAGTTGAACAAAAAGCCTTTTGTTAGCATCGCATA